TCTGTAGCATTCTGCATTTTGGCTACATAATTCACTCAACAAATATTTGCTGAGTGCCTACAAGGGTCAAACATTATGCTAAGGCATGTTCAGCCCCACCTCAAACTGTCAATCAACCATTATAGAGAAGAAATTTAAAAATATATTTTTATTTTTATTTTTTATTGTTGCTCTACTTGGGGTACATCGTGACATTTATAAAAATTCTCACAATGTGTCATAGTTGAATTCATTGTGAAGAACTACATAAAAACACATTATACTGGAATATAATCTAACCTTTAATATAAGGTAAAGTAGGATAGATTCAAGAAAAACAGAAATCTGTAAAATCTAATATTAAAAAAAAACTCAGTTTGTGTAGTTCTAAAATGGTTGATAAATGATATAAATTGTCTATAATATTTTGATTTTATTATATATACTCAAAGGGGTTCTATAACAGCTTTATCTTCCAATACCAATATTTTTAATACATTTGAATTTTTAATACATTTTTAATACATTTGAAAGTTAAATCTCTTTAAACCTTTGATACAATAGTACTGGGTATTAACTCAAAAATACACAAGTGGGTACAAAGTTTCCAGAATTCTTTTTGGGAGTATGTGAAGAAAACTCCTTGAACATCACTTCTTGAAAGTGATTCAAAGTTTTCTCCTCATTTTCTGTGAATAATTTTGTTGAGGTGGCCGCTCAGTCCAATGTCCCTCTCCACCAGCTCTCTGATTATGGAGCACCTATGAATCTTTCACAGCTCTGCTACTGCTGCCTCCCTTTGAAGCTCTCCCTGATTCTAATGCCCTGGCCATAGTTATAACCTATGACATCTTTAACTGTGCTTTCAACAGCTATTGTGACATGTAGCTCTTTACATCTGACTATCCAAACACCTTAAAGGTTTCATTTTGACATAGTCCAGAAGCCCAGAACAGTGGGCTTCCCACATATTGTTGATTGGCTTAATATTTTCATTAGTTGAAGGACAAAGATTCTTGACTTAGAAGCTGGAAGAATAACAGAAAAATAGAAAAAGTCAGGGAAAGTGTATCTTGCAGGGAAAGACATTAGGATTAAATGTTTGGTGTTAGGCTGGTTGGTTTGGGATGACAGGCTGTTTTTTTGGCACAGAAAAGTGTAAATGGCCTAAGGACAGAAATAAGAGACCAAATTGCCTTTGAAACATCATACCTCAAAAACTAACTGGTGGGACTCATGACGAGGTAATAGATGACTTTTCAAAATGGGAGATCTCATTCTGGCAATGAGTTTCAAATCTACGTAAGACATTTAGATGAACTGAAGGACAAGTTCAGAAAGCTAGTCAGAGGAGATGGCAGGGAAGGAACAGTAGAACCTTGTAAGCACAGGGGTGCAGCAAGCAGGGAGATGCGAACAGGAACAAATGATCAATGCTGTTGAAGGAGTGAAATCAGTCAAGTGGGATAAAAACTAACAAATACTAGAGGGTGATAGTAGGGTAGAGAAAGAAAGCAAAGGAATGGCAAAAAGAGCCATGAATTTACTTTAAGAAAGGTGTGTATATTTTTACTGTGTAGCCATAAAGTCCAAGTACTTTTATACATTCTTTATTCTGTACTCAGTACTTTCATAATTCTAAAATGCTTTCACATATTGTATCATAAACAGAAGTTCTAGTATTATTCCTTATTAATAAAAATTGTACTTTAATAAAAAGAAAAAATAATTATGTCAATTAGAATTATATTCATGTGTAATACACTAAAGATTTTTATGCATTGTGATATTGTAGCATCAGAAAATAAAAACCATTTGATTGAATAAGCTTATGTCAATAACTTAAATTGCATTAAATATATCAAGCCAATATTATTTACATTTGATTTTAAACTTCTTAATGTTCTAAGATACAACTGCATGTCCTTATAAAGATCAGTTTTCAGTAATATCTCTAATAATTATAAAACAACTATCTTCTTATGATCTTGTTGACATGAAAAAAGTCTAAATAACATAAATAAAGTCCGTTGAGGATTTTATAAAATAATTTTATCATCATTAGTTAATATCCTTCAAAATATATAATAGTAGTGAAGAATTTATAGATAATGAAAAGGTACTATCTAAATGATATAAGGAAGATATAAATGCTATGCTTTAGGAGTTGCACTTGCCTAACCTTCAGCTATTCAAGCTCTTTAGCTTGCTTTCCTAATAAATGAATCACATCTTGGAAAGCCTTCATCAGTTACAGACAAAATGATATGGAAAAAGAAAGGAGAATTGTACTTTTTTTCCCATTCTATATTCATGTAACATTGAATTCTTCTATAATCTAAGGTGATTTTTTTTTCTTGTTTTTACAAAAACAGAAACAAACCAAACTTTGATCAGAAGACCCAACAGAGTTGTCCAAGGAGGTTTTTCTCCCACTCCAACCCAGTCTCAAGGGAGCAATGGGCAGAACTTGTCTGCTTCTAGGTACAATCGTAAGCGGGGGCACCCGTTTCAATAAGCTAGAGGACTGTGAGGTAGAGGATTCTAAAGGCCTCTCGGTATTACTTTTATATCCACAGCAACAGAATTTTGTTTCTCAAGATCAGTGACAAAAATGTCTTCCACTCAACTGACTCCAATCGTGGTTCTTTTTCTGAAGTTATCAGAGTAAGTTGAAATTCCAACCCATACTTGTACCCTCATTACCACTTTTGTCTTTTCAGGTCCAAAATTGTGAGCTCTTCTTAATAAGAAATATAAAATAGAGAAAGAAAGGCCTTTTTAGAGCAAACCATGTATAATATTTCTCAATTAACCAACCAATTAACCATTAATAGCAAATCCAGTCTAGCCTTTGGCCTTGGTTGAATATTAAGTATGTCAGCTATGCTATAGGATATTGTTTCTGTGTGATTTTAATTAATTAATTCAACAAGTAGCTAGTAGGCACCTTATATGTATCAGCAATAATTTCTGATACACTAGTAAACAAAAGAATGGTATCTGCACTCTTGATTTGTGTATTTTGGTGGTAGAGGTGAGATTAAGAATAGGAAAAGAAGCCCACAGAAAATATATCAAATAAAAATTTAATTAATAAAATTACATAATAGATTAGAAAATGATATGTGCTATGGAAAAAAGAAAGTGAAACAGAGTGAGAGCAGTGTGGGGCTAGGGATGGGGACACTGATCTCCGTGGATTGCAATTTTAAATAAAGTTCAGACATACAACCAAAGCCTCAGAGAGTGAGCTTGAACTTTAGGTTTTGGAGGGTGAATTACCTTTCCTGAGAGGCTGGTATGTCTGATTCTTTTTTTTTCTTTTGGATTTGTTTCATTTCAGTTGGGGGGGCATGATAAGTTTTCTAATTTTGATGAATACATCTAGAAATGAATGGCTGTTCTATGGTAAAGTAAGAACTACTGAATCTGGTGTCTTAGCCAAGCCTAAAATGTCTGACTGTATGACTACATGATTAAAAATAAAATAAATATGTTGCAAATGTCCCACTAATGCCATACTGATACAACTTAAAAGATGTGCAACGGCAAGGACCTGTGTACCTCAGTCCATGTCGTGTGGACTGAACCTACAGTGCCTCACTCATGATTATTACACTCTACTAAATTAGTATCATTTCATGAATAGGGTGCAGAACGACGTGGGACAAAGGAGCTAAGTAATAAGTGATGAAAGTTAAGCTATTAAAGGGAAAATGTTCATCCTCTTCATATACTCAAGAGGCACAGTTCTGGGTTTCAAATTAACTAAATTCAGTATAGAAAACTAAATCATAAAGAAAAAATTTCCCTGTCTGATTATTACACCTGAGTTGTTGCATCTAATATTTTAAAGAGGAGATAGGAGGCAACCTGTGCTCCAGTGTAGTTATTTTTCTATGTCGTTACAAAATAAGCACCTGATACTACCTTGGCACACTCAGAAGAGCCAATAAAAGGTGTAGGCACCAAAAATTAGAGTCTCAACATCTAGTCAGTCTTCTGCAATTGCAACAAAATGTAGAAATCATATCTTTGTTTTCCTTTTTTGAGGCACAGTCTCACTATGCGTCCAGGCTGGTCATGAATGCATGATCCTTCTACCTCAGCCTCTCCACTGCTAGGATTACCAGCTCGCACCATCAACACCCAATTGAGATCATATCTTTTAGCTTATTTATGAAATCCAACGAACAGCAATTAGATGAAGCAATAAATGAAGAAATATACTGTTTTGTTTTGTTAGTAATATTCAAATGAAAATTGTCTAACAAAACTATGATTTAGAAATTAAGATTAGCTTGCATAAATAGAAAATTATAGCAGTCATATAAAATTGGTATATCTCAATGGTCTAAATCATGTGTACTCGATAGCTATGTTGACCACATTTAGGAAATGAGAGCTCAATTTCTCTTTGGTCTGCCAAAAAAATTTAATTATTACACACATAATACATATATACACACACATACACACACACAAACATATATATATGTCACATAGTAACTTCTAATAACAAATTCTGATTAGAAAGGGGACTATTATTAATAAGAGGAGTTAATGCTAAAATGAACATCGTAAAAGCGAGACAAAGAGGACATTAATAAAATCAAGATGATCTGATACTTATATTTACCTTACTCACAGACTTGACATCTTGACAGTTCTGCGACCAATTCATATAATTATCACACTATAAAGGAGCAGTATTTATGAAGGAAAGGCCATTTGTAATGTAAAACAATATGGTCTCAGCATGTCTGCTAGGAGCAAATGCCCACTTAATGAATATTAATAATATATTAAAACCTAGAATTAAATACATAAAAGGAACAAGTGCTGCCCAGACTCAGGAAAGTACTACTCAAGAAGTAGTTTGATACTTGATCTGCCTTTCCAGTTACTTTAAATTATTCTGAAATATGTATGCTGTAGATATTTGAGTAATTTTTCTTTGTTTTGCAGAAGCAAAGTAGGAGACCTGATAGCCTATAAATAAGAATGGAAGAAGTTACCTGTAGAATGGCAACCTCATTACGAAGCTGGCTTTCTTGTTTTGTGGGAAATCTTAATTTGTCAATGATTTTAATAGCTACATCTCTTCCTGTTTTACGATGTTTTCCTTTAAAATAAAAATATGAAACAGAGCATTGTTAAATATCACCTATATTAATGAGAATCAAAACTTATAAGGATATTTATATGTAAAAATTTATGTATAAAATATTTCACTGAATAAATTCTAAATAATACTAACATATACCCATGAAGATTACATATCTTGGTTCCATTATTCTAAATAGTGTGTGTAAGTTAAAATTAGCCATAATGTAGAACACAAAAGAACTAGGGCATGAAAATCTTTATGTATATTTTCTGATAAAAGATATGCTTTAGAACTAGGATAGTGATCTACTTAATTTAGAAAAATCTTAAACCATCAGTAAAAATGGTTTCCTTAAGAAAACATAATTTTAAAGTTCTGATAAACTAATGTATGTTAGAGGGGAATGCATTGGAGTCTCAGCTCTGTCATTTACTAATTGTGTGATCAAATGATCTAATCTTTCTAATTTGAGGTTCCACATCTTTAAAAGTAGTATTGTTGTGAGGATTAGATGACGGAAAGCACATAAAGCACACAAAGTGCACACCTAACTACACCCATCAAAACATGTCAGTTATCACTGCCACAATCTTCATTATCATCACCATAATAGGTCCTTTGCATACACTAAAACCCACTTAATTCTCACAACAAACCTTTTAGGAGATTTATGGGACACCCCTACGTTCTCAACTTTGTACCACTATATTGTTGTAGGTATAGAATATAGTAGCACTAATTGAATCTGAAAATGAAAAATGAAAATAAAAATGCAGTATAGATCTAATTACTCAAAAGTTTAGTAACATACTAAATGCTGTAGCATTTATTGAAAATTCAGTGTTTCTTACCCTATATACTATTCTCACTGTCTGACTTTTCCAGACTGCCTTCCTTCACTGCCCTATTGCCCATTTTCATGATCTCTGCTTCCTCAACACCATCCCTTACTTTTTTGACTTACTGAAAGTCACTACTTCAACTCAGGAATTTTACCAGAACTACTGTCTACAAGGCCATGGCTTTTTTTAACTCTACTTTCCTGTCACGACAGTAACAGTATGGGACTGTTCTTATCTGTTTCATTCCATGTCTGGTCCTAGTCTTCCTTAGTAGCCTCCTTCCCCCTATTCCCAATGTTTCAGTGTTGGATGTTACAGACCATGTGGCACTTGCTGGTCTTTCTCACATCATTTCTCACCCTGCCTCAACTCTACACTGCATGCAGTGTATATTTACCATGCTTATCGTGAGTGGTTTTTTTTTAATTTTTGCATGAATGGTTACTGATTTAGTAGGATTTCCATCAAAAAATCACTGGTGCATTTTTACAAAAATCAAAATTACCTTATAAAGTAGAATAGAATTTAGTTTTTAAATTAAACAGTATGATATATGAAGATGGGTAAAAATGGGCTTCCATAAGAGTCCTGATGAAAGGTGCTGAAAGAAAATGGAACTAATTTGTTTATGAACTGCAACTTTCTTGTTTTTTCAATATTTTGTCTAACTCACTCAAACTGCTTCAGGATTGTGCAAATTTGTTAGTATTTAAGGTAAAGAAATTCTATAGGAGGTAGAAAACTTTCTCTTTCAAAACAGAAATTTACCAGTTTTCCAAAGAATGACTATATCAAGATAAATTAAAGGATAAAACTGGTATACACACACACATACATAAATCTTGCTTTTTATGTTTTTCTTGCATTACTTTTCTACACACAGGTTGCTAAGATTTTAAAGAAATAAAAATGCTTAGTATATTAACCTACCTCCATAAACAATCCCAAACTGTCCAGAACCCAGTACTTCATCAGGAAAAATCTGATATACTGTGCTTATGTCCTACGAGTCCAATGAAAAACACAGATGAGAGGTAACAAACTAGCAAATTATATAACTAAAATTATAATTATTAAAAATTTCAATAGTAATTGTGAATGTTAAATAAAATTTCAATGACTATAATGTTCAAATAACATTAATTCACATATTATAAAATCTTGAAAACTGTTCTGATCAAGGTTTTCTAATGTGCTATTAAATATGTTTCAATAAGAGTGAAAGGAGACCTAAAACTGTACAATGTCATTTACTATAAGTATTTGAAAAGAGAGTTGCTGGTTGAAATGGCTATTTAGACATTTTGCTAAATATCCATGGATCCCAGTCACACATCTGTGTGAATCCTGATCCACCCTTTGCCTAGAAGGATGACGCTAACCCTTGTTGGCACCTACATCCAGATGGACTTAAACTGAAAGAAGAGGGGCAGAATCACTATGCATGACCTGTAGACAACTGTGAAAGAAGACAGCCCATAATGAAATTCTCATCTGTGAGGTGAAAGCATTTTTATTTTTAACACTTCTGAAGGCAACAAGGTACAAACGTCTACTCCTTTCTCTTTGAAATAATAGTTGCTGAATAAAGATAGTTTTACTGCCATTTGATGACCACTCATGAAAACCTAACACAGTGCTTTTTTACTTTATGTATTCATATTACAGTTCATCCTACCATAGTTTCTGCCTATCCTCCACTCTTACTCTTTTTGTTTCTTCCAAAAAAGTACTTTTGCATCAAGTCCTACTCTTTCTAAATCCTATCTACCTCCATTCTTTTTCTTTGTCCTTCTGAAAACAGGATAGAATAGGTCTATCCTGTGACCCATTTAAAGGGTGAGTTTAAGGCTATCTGTAGATAAGAAAACACTAATTGGATTCCATTATTCTGAGTCCAACTACTCCATCTTTTTTTTAATTGAAAATGTACAATTTAGTACATAGTAAGGAGTTTCATCATGACATCTCCATACATGCAAATAATGTATTTTGATCTTATTTATCCCCTCTATTACTCTTGTCCCCTCCTGTACCCTACATCTATTAGCAGAATTATTCTTTAGGCTTTCTTTGAAAACCAGTATCAACTTGAAAATTTCAGTGGACAACAATGGCCAAAAAGGATAGAATGATCTCACAGCTATCTGAGACTTTCCAAGAGTCTTTAGAGTAACCTACATTTCCCAAAGTCTTATCTGGCTAAGCAAGAGCAATAGGAATCTGAGGTCTTTAGACACCTTCATGAGTGACAGCCCAAGAATTCATTTAACCTTCATGATGAAGTCGTCTAATTTTCTCTAACTAATCTTTAGCTTTCTCTTTCATTATGTCAATCCAGCAAAGGTTATAATGATGATAGTAGTGGTGAGTACAGTTTCAAGGATTTTTTTCTTTAAAAATAAACAGAATAGTGTATTACAACATACTGCTCCCTTTCGGTCATAGTATAGTGAACAAAATAGCAAAAATTCTGTGTCACAAAATAAAGGTGGGAAAGTACTTAGTACTTTAGGCTACTGGCTATCATCACAAAGTATAACAAATAAACATGATAGAGTATAAAATATTTGATAATATATCTGATCTATAACTTCTGAAAATTCTGCTGAAAGGATAAAGTTATATGGCTCAAGACACTAAGGGACTAGAATATGAACCCATAAAATCCAAATTATGCAACTTTATTGAGTTCTTCTTGGTATGTACAAGTGACTAAGGGCAGCTATAATCCTTTTTATTTTACAGCACTCCTAGGTAGCAAGGGATGAGATAAATGGTTTCTATAAGCTACTCATGAACATCAAGGAATTTTTTGTTTCTGCATTTGTTTTGTTGTGTGACATAAACCATTAAAATTCCAGTATTGAGAAGGGTAAATGTATGAGAAATCAGACATCACAGAATACATGCCTATCTGGGATGAAAAAATAGGCTTTTGGCAATCACTATATATTGTAGAATGATTATAGCAAAATTGCTAAACAAACAAGGTAACATCTCTAAAATTTTATGGAACAAAAATATTCAATAGATGCTATCTTATTTTCTTGAAAATACTGAAAAATTATGTTAGGTAAGGTAAATTCCAATAATCATACACCAAGTTTTTATTAGTAAATTCATACTCACCACATTTTCTTGAATCTGGCAATTTGATACTGAAATGCTCACCAAAATATCTTCTGGAAATGTATGTTACACACACACACACACACACACACACACACACACACACACACACACACAAAGAGGGAGTCAGTTAGATAGGTAATAACAGCACAAGTGAATACATACTGATCAATCATCCTATAGAACTGGTTTCAAATAAATCATAGTAACTAGATTGGTCTACAAAAATTTCTATTAGAATATTTCCTTTAAAATTACAAATGTAGTCTATAGTTGGTTTTCAAAAAATAATATTCTGTCAGTACATACAAGCTTTGTTACTTGATAGTTCTGATATAAGCTTAGACAACTAAAACTTTCTAGAGACTCACCTATAAAATAAGAAAATCATTAACTTGGGGTTGCTTTAGGAATTAAATTACAGATCTTATGTGAAGTGCTTAGCACCAAAAAAGAATATATATTCCACTGATATGCTGGTTGAAGAGATAAACAAAATTACGATAGACCAGCAGATATACACTGTAGGTACTTGTAATTGTTAAAACCAGTTAATTTCACAGGTTTTATTATAATAGCCATTATGAATCTTAAAATCAAACTTTTATATAACATTCCACTAAAATTTCTTTTTAAAATCTTGAATCTGGTATATTTTGGCAAATCTATCTCGCTTTGCAAATGAACAGATTTTTTTTTCTTGGAATAAGATTGTCAAGGCTTT